GAAGAACCACGGCCGAAAACCACAAACGGCTACACCTTGCATCGCAACCTCCACAGTGCATGTTCCAGGTTTCGTGGGTCTCTTGTTTCTGTGCTGATACCGTGTTCTGTATTAATTGTCACGCATATGTGGTGTATTTGCTCCCTTTTCCCTCAGTGCGGCTGACGTGCATACGGCGCGGATGCAATGCCATTTAAGGTAGCTATTAGCGTCTAACCGTTTATGTGAAGAGAAAAGAAATTTCAATAAAATCGTGTGGTTTTTATATAGAACTGCGACAGAGTAACAGCGGCAGGGAGAAGAAAAGAATTTTATATTTCATGACAATTGTTACTTCAGTTTTCTTTTGTTTTCCGCTGTTTTTCCAATATATAAGTCACATTTTATTTTTTTTTTTTTGTATTCTTCTCTCAAATATTTATTTAATTTTTTATTTTAATTGTTTATTTTTTGCCTCTGTCCGTATGCCTGTCAGTCTTCCCGTCTATAGATTTGGAGTCTGTTTTGTTTTAATTAAAAACAAGCATAAACATTCAACCATAAAGATTCCTCAGCGTTCTACGGTTTTACGGTTTTACCAGAAATTGTTACTGTTTTTTATTGTTCGAGTGCAATTTGCATATAACACGGATGGAGCAGCTACTGCACTGCACGTCGACCTATTTTCTGTAGAAACCCTAACTTCGGATTAGGTTTGTTAAGTTATGGAAGTGCTTAGTTTTGTATTATAATCACAATTCCACATCTGCACTTTAGATTGTAAAAATATATTTACAATGCAGTCATATCTTGGGCTAATATTTGATGAATGCTTTCAGGGTAGAGTTTTTAAAAACACAAAATTAATGATTTTTACTAAATGAAATTGCTACTGTTTAATTTACAAAGATAAACAATAGTGCAATGCACTTTTAGAAAAATAAGATAAAGATTATGGAAGTTGCTTTCAGGATGGGCGAAATGGGTAAAGGCTGTGAAAAAAATCAGTAGAATCAGTAGAACGAGTACGGATTGTGGAGGTAACTTTTAACTACTTTGACTGCCCGAGAATAGGCAGATTGAGTAAAGATTATGAAAGCAACTTTTAGCTACTTTGGTTGTCCGAGGATAGTAGGGCACGAAGAGACTTTATGGAATATGAATACTATATTATATTATTTACAAGTTGAAATTCTTTCATCTATTAAAAAATCAGTAGAACGAGTAAGAATTGTGGAGGTAACTTTTAACTACTTCGACTGCCCGAGAATGGGCAGATTGAGTAAAGATTATGAAAGCAATTTTTAGCTACTTTGGTTGTCCGAGGATATGAGACTTTGAAAGAGAAATTCAAATATTGTCAAATATACATCATTAGTACTATTTTGAAATATTTCAAGGTTTATTAGTCCTTCAAGACTTCAACACTGTAAATGATAGGAACTGAATATGTTCAAACTAGAACCATGGACGTGCATATTACCACACAAAGGCAATGTACACTTATTCAAAATTGTGACAGTTGCTCTACAAAAATTAATTACTCATATTGTAATTAATATTTAATTAATTTGATTTTAATTTAACTTTAATTTAATTTTTTATATTAATTTCAATTAATTAATATTTCAAATTTTGCAAAGACTGTAAATGATAAATATTTAACAGGATTCGAAATAGCTATTAGGTTAGTCCAATAATTTATTTAAAATATAATAGATTTTTTGTTTATAAATAATTTTCTTAAGGAAAAGTGTAATAGTTATATTATATTATTATGATTGGTGTGAATATTATAGTATTAAATTGTTTACAAGTTGAAATTCTTTCGTCTATTAACTCATGCATTATTTAAAGCACTATTATTTATGACAGGTTTCTCATATTTGGGAAACGTCGTTCTATACGACGTCATTGGGTGATATTGGTTTCATTCATCATGATTCTCGTACATGGATGTGCCACCTACAAAATCCTTGTACCTGCTGCCAAAGCAGGAGGATTTAAATACTATAATTACGCCTTGGCGTAATATTAACATTGTTGTTATATGCGCAATTGATCTTTTAGGTCCCAGTGTACTATCCCTTTTCATAATAATCATTTTAATAATATAAATGTAAATGAAACTTTCAATTTGTTTTTAAACCATTTTAAACATACTAAACCACATCTTGAATTTTTACTTAAATTCTCGATTTTTTGGACTGTAATTAGAGCAAATTACATATTTCGCTTGAAGATTTTATGAAATCATATTGCTTTCAACTGAACGAGAACTTCTTGAAATACTGCGGGAACAGAAATTCAGTAAAAGTGCCAGACAGAAAATGAGACTATATCAATAGCCAAAACACAACTTTTGTAGATAAACTTAAGCTCTTTATATATCTAATAACAATATCAAAAATAGGAATAAAATTGCAGTCTCTGCATTGAAGCCACTTCGCTTAAAAATTATTTTGAAAGTAAAATCGAAATTGATACTGAAAATGACTAAAGCGTCAAAAAATTGTGGCACTTAGCGCATTGCTATTACTTTGTTCTTCGTAGTGAACCTCCATCGAACCATCGATCCAAGCACTACATCGTGCAGTCAGTGTTTTGTAAACAAATCTGAAAGGACATCTGCAGGATGCACTCCTTCATACATACATGCATTTTAATACTTAACAGTTTTTTTTGTTTTTATTTCTGTAGATTTAAGTGGAAGTTCAGTAAGGAGAATAAGTCAATTTGTGAAGAAATCGAAATGTGAACACATGAAATACTTTTCGAACTTGGCAGAAATATGAACCAAATTTTTCAGAAATTTCTTTGCATGTTTCAATATATAAAATGAATGCACTTAAGTCATAAATTTGTCAATGATTGCTTGAAATTTGATGCACTTCAAGATTTTCATATTATTTTTTTTTGTTTGTTTTCTTTTACGATTTGTACAAGGCAGATTGCACATGCCTGCCTTGAGATATTTATTATCCTTTTGAGAGTTCAGAATTTGATAGCGAGGAATAAAAAAAAAAAAAATTAACAGTTTATGACTTCATTTTCCTCTAAGAAATGCTTTAGTCGATTACACTTCGTTTTATTGCACTTTGTTCTTTTACTACTTGGAACTAAAATAGTCGAGTCTCTAGTAAATCAAGAGATTTATGACACTTCACATGAGTCGCCTTGTTAAAGGATTTCATTTGATCTATAGATTAATTTCTTGCATGCAAGTGTCAGAGACTACAATAAAATTCTTGTTAAATCAGTTGGTGATTTTATTATCATTTATTATAGGTTTAGATATGTATATTAATGAAATTCTAAATATTCAATGTGAATAATGTGAAGAACCTCTCAATTACCACTGCCATTGTAATAAAAATCACATATAATAAACAATTTTAAGTTTTATTAAATATTAGAATGGAAAATTAAAAAATTTAATATAAAACTTAAAACAAACCTTTAATTGGAATATTAAGAACTGGTCAAACGATCAGGGTTTTGGAGTACGAGTTTGAGATGGTCTAATCGTGCAACTACATTAAATCAATTGTAACAGCTAATCATAACATCAGTTTCTTCTCTTATCCACTTCTACCAACCTTTTGTATCGTATGCTGTTACTCGGGAGATTCTCGGGAGTTATCATTCCAGGAATAATTAGCATCTCTTAGCGCTTCCTCAATTCTCCTCCACCAAGTTATAGCTGACGCTCCAGGTCGACGGCTGCTTTGAGGATTCCACCTCAGAGCTTGGCATGGTCTGCGGAGATTGTATCCTATCCAGCGTCATTTGCGTCTACATATCTCAATAGTAGCAGACGATTGATTCGTGACGGTCCATAGGTTGGTGTTTGTAATGCGGTTGGGCCACCATATTCTTAATATTTGATGTAGGTATTTGTAGGTATTTATCTATTGGTCTTTTCGATGTCTCGTAAACATAGACTAGCACACACTTTACGTTAGAGTTGAAAATGCGAAGTTTTGTGTGAGTAAAATTTAATTAGGAGTGTGAGTCATATCATTGGGAGTCAATGTCTTGGTCAGCGTCGCTTTTAGTTGTGACTTCTACTTTTATATTAACAAATGGCGAAGAGGGTGAGCAATATACTCCATCCATTACTTTTGTATTGTTGCGAATAATTTCTAGACGGGCGACTGCTGCATTTAACCCAAGTGCTTTCATATTTTTCTGTAAGTCTCTGATATTATGGCTGAGTAGACAAACGTCGCCTGCATGTAATGTGAAGATGTGAAATCTTTCGGATGCATTAATGGATTCCACTGGATACCTTTGTTGCAATCAAATATGGAAAAGTGATCTAATTCAAAAAAGTTTTCTAAAATCTGTTGAAGTCACCATAATATCTAATCTTCTGGAGTGCTATGTATTAGTTCAACAGAGACTTGGATGATGAACATTAATAAAAAGATTTTGTAAGCTGTAACGGTTTACTAAAAGAAGACTCAGTACTTATTTTTTTGATTCCAACTGTTTGATTATTAAAATTGATTTATAAAATTATGGATTTACCTTTCAACGAATTCTTCCTCGATTATTCGTCATATGACATGTGCCTAATAAATTGTTGAAATTACTACTGGATGTAGTACTTGCTGGATGTAAAATCAAGTCTTCTAAATTGAATGAGAAATTAAATTTTTTGTTTAGAAAAAAAAATTACTTGCGGGATGTATGGAGAAATCTCTTCATTCATTTTAATTATTTTTCTTTATCAATCCATATAATTAACATTTAATGCCGTTGTAGTACGAGGAGGGCTTTCAAAATTTCATCCATTCTACGCAATTCTTCTTACTTATTTTGTTTAGACTAAATCAAATTTCTTCTTTGATCTCTGATAGTCAGTGGTACTTACTGTTTTGGAATCATACCTATTTTAATTAACGATTCTTTACTTAACTATTAAAAATAAATTTTATTTTAGAGTTAATCATAGTACACTTGTAAACTATATGGAAAATTATATTTCAAATTTTTTTATATTCCTGATATATTTCTAAAATTCAAAGTTTACATTATTGCAATTCTGGTAAAAGTTCTGGAAAACTTGTAAATTTTAAGTTGATTAACATTACGCGATTTTGGGCTAATAAAATTATTGTTAAAAATATTTTTTAAATATTTTTTGGAACTAATCATATGGACTCCTATTCTGTCTGATAATTTGCAGAAGTTTAAGATCCTTTCAACTGGGTGTAAAGAAGAATACTCAAATCTTTATAATTCGATAGACTTTACTTTACGGGCTTCAGGAAGCAAAAGCATCTAAGTTAAATTCAAATCGAGATTTTAACTGAGGTTTGCGAAAATTTAAAATATCAATATATGCACTATATCCAATATATTCTAGGTATATGGTTAGCCATATCTTTGTTCACTAACTTATCTGGACGGAATCATATTGGCTTTAAGGTTTGTATACGAGCCATGTTATACAAATAGTCATGGTCACGTCAATGTGAATTAAAAATTGACTATGAGAGAGAAATTTAGATTAAAATTTGGTCGGAGTCCTAAGATTTTCCATAGACATCATAATAGTCAAAACAGTGTGGCTTAGTAATAAATGTCGTTGTTGTTGTTGTAGCCCTCTAAGGTCTGAAAAACAGATAACGTGTTAGGATTACAAAACGAATACATGGGTTGCGATGTGGATGGGTGGTGTTTTGGGGTAAGAGTAGGGGGAAAGCTCAGAAGGGAGGATGTAATTGAAATCAACCCGGGTCCATACGCAGAAACCTAGCCACTTCAAGTGGGTGAATCCTAAGCTCAATTGGACTAAGATTCGTTTGCGTAGAGAGACAAGAGAATAGGTGGGCAACATCAGGGGGGATAAAGCTACAGTTTGGACACAAATTAGGAACATATGTGTTTATGTGTGAATATATATGTTTAATATATGGCTACACCATGACCTTAATTGACTTAGGGCAGTTCCTGCTGCGCGTTGGAGGCGTCGTCCTTCATGCATCTGTTGGAAATGCTTTAAGTCCACGTTTGTTTTCGACCTCACTGATGTTACTTCTATTGCAATAGGGCTCGATAGAGTTTGAGATGGACGTAAATATGTTAATTTTTCTGTAGATTTGCAGAACCATCCATGCAAAAGTAAATATCTTTTAAATTTAACCATCAACAAATAGGGATTTAAGTAGGAAATTGGCAACTGTGATATGATTCTCTGCATAACATGTCTTGTGGGCACGACCAAACTTAATCATTATATAATTGTGACTATAACATTCAAACGATTATAATTTACTTTAATGTTTAGCAATTTTCACTAGCTTATCTGGAGGAAATCACATTAGTTTTGAGGTTTGTATAAATTAAAATAATTAATATCTTAGTTTGCACTTACATTTTAAAAATTTTATATCATATTTTATGATATTTTAGTCATGTGAAAATAAAAATATTTTGTAAGGTAAGTATAGAATTTTAATGAATAATTAAAATTCTATACTTAACCTAAATTCTCAGATTTTTCGTTAAAAAATTACCAGTGTTTATAAAAATGTTTTTAGGTAATCCAGTTTGTTTGTTTAAGAAAAGTGAAATGTCTCGCAGGTTGTCAATGTTTGTGAATATGGTTTCACGGTCATTTAGTAAAAGATCTCGAAATATTCCAAAAGCTGCTGTTACAGAGCAACGTGACTTAAAAGAGAACAAACCTGATTACACTTACAATAAAAATGGTCGTGATGATAACCACAAATTGAATACCGAAAATTGTGCTAGTCAGCAGCCCTATGTGCACAATATTCGCATGGACGATAAATATGTTCAAAAGAATATTGCGTATGAAAAACATTCAAGTACAGCTACAGCACGCAGCCATAAACAGAAGTCATCAAGTACTCCGGAATTAAAACAACCCATTCCACAAAGCTCGATTGCACAAAAATACTATGAAGCAATAAACCAAAAACAAGACCTCCCGAAGCAATATGTTTCTGCTCAACATGATCCAGAAAAGAAAGGTCAAAAATCTTATACTGATAAGAATCATATTAATACTAAGCGGGACTACAAGGCAGCCGTCGAGACTTACGAAAGTAAGAGCAATGCCGGACAGTCTAAAGAAGTAAAACCTCCTACTAAATCTAGTGTAACATCTAATATTAGCATAAATTCAGAATTTCTTAAGAAACTAATCGATCAGGAGGCGCGACGTGAAGAAGATCAGCCTGTTAAGACACCCAAATTAAAGAAGCGATGTAGAATATGCGAATAATCACCCAACAATGGACTCAAAACAAGATTGGACATATTTTAAGGAATGCTTCTGAGGTATACGATAACACGGAAAAGTGTAAGCTTTAGTGGAATCAACAAAAAATAAAATTCCGTTATCGGCTTATGGAAGAAAATTAATTTTCTTGCAGATGTTGAACAATGAATAGGACGTTTATTTGCAATAATCTACATAACGTTTTTAATTGCAAAAATTTGAGTAGTTTTTAAACGAAATTTTTTGGAGAGTCTTTGTAGATGAAGAACAACAAAATTTACATTTGTTAAGATAATTGTTCGGAAAGCATTTAATAGCTTTAAATATTTAAAATCATTTACGTTTCTTATTTAATACAATAGCAATAAAAATAAATCAACAGTTACCTAAATTATTGTGTTATAAAATATAATGTATGTGATATATTCTATATACAATAAGATTAGACTCATATTGATAGATTCTCCAGACAAAACTCCATTTTACTATATGTAAAGCGAATACTGTACGTTTCCATTATTGATTATATTCTGTAACGCATTAATAATTCCATGAATGAAATATAAATTTATGAGGAAAGATATCAAGAACCATAACGTGCTTCTAAGATAATAAGATATCATGTCACGATAAATTTGACATTCTGGACTACACATTCTTTATCCATCCAATATGATCTCCAGAACTGACATTCCATATTTGCAAGTTTATCAAAAACTTGAAGAGAATGTTTCAATTAAAAAGAGATTCTGTAGAGGAGTCTATATGCCATACGAAAAATTTTTCCAAAATTGTCCACTTAATCACGGACTATTTTATGATTAATCGAATTTTATGCATACAAAGACAAAGGAGTGCACCAAACTCCGTGGACATACTAAAACCGACCTTACTTTTTTTGATAAAATGGTGTAGTCTTAAGCTAATCGTAATAGGTACACTAACAACTATTCTCAGACTAGTCTTAGAAACATCAATTTTTCTACTTGAGTCTTTTTTCCCTTTATTAATTTTCCATTTGATTTGATTTTTAAGGTCTGTTTTGATGAAAGAAACTAAATTCGTAATATAGGCAGTTGTTTTCAATTGAGTGGCTTTTTTTAACTAACTATAATGAATTGCAACAACAAAAATTTTTATTATTTTTAATTAATTGAAATTCATCGTAAATTTGACAGCGTACGTGTTCAACCCTTGGTACTTGCAGTTTCAAAAAAGTATTTACGAATAATAAAATATACACCTCTCTACTTAAATAAATCGCAAATAAAGTTCATATTGTAATTTTATTATTAATTAATTTTAAAAAGACATGTAAGATATATTAAAATTTAAAATTCCTCAAATTCTTCAACAGCGGCTTCGAGCTCTTGTTCTTCTTGAATGGCCTTTTCCACAGCAGTTTTCTGCTTCTTCTTTTCAGTCTTAGGAAAGCGCAATGCTCGAACGGCTTCATTATGCAAATTTAAACAGAAAGCAATACGCTCATGAAAAGCAATTTGCGGTTCTCGTGTCTTATACACATTTTGAGACTCTTTACTACATAAACAAGCACCATCACAATCAATTATACCTTCAATGACACCATCACTTATAGCCTTAGCAACAATAAATTCAGCATCCTCAATACTATCAAGCAGTAGACGTTGAGCAACATCAGCCAAAGAAATACGTGAATAAGCCATACTAATTTGACGCAAAGCAGTTTTGATAACGCTCTGACGTAAACGGGAGATAAGCATATAGGTGTGATCATCTTGAAAATAGTTCCCATACTTTTCCATAACAGCACCAAAACCTTTAAGATTACCCAAACGTACAGTTTGTGTTAATTTTAAGTAGGGTAATAAGGCCTCCTTCATACCCGGCTGATTGTAGATAGTACGCTCAGGAATACTGCCCAGTAACAGTTCGACAACAATAATATACTTCTGAACAATTTGACGAAAACCAAGTGCTGTACTTTGCGGTGCCTTACGTTGAGCACGAATCAGCTGCTTATGACCTTCAGTGTATTCGAGCTTAGTTAACTTGATGCGCCCATTGTAGAAGAGATAACGTGCCAATTGATTATTAGAAGCGGCCACCGGAAAAATAGTTTGCTTTATTAACTTATCCGCCTGTTCATACAATGAGTAATGTAAATAATTATGCAATAAGCAATTGATGAGAACAGCTTGCACTTCCTGATTTTTATGCAATGTAGCGGTACGTAGACGCAATAGCAAAAATGGGCGTATCTCTGATAAAGTATCATTCAACTCTGATGCACGTGCAAAGTAATAGTACGCGCGAGCAGCCAGTAGTTGCATAGTTGGGCTATTATCTTTGATTATTTTATCATTTAAAATGGTACCACAAATCAGCGCTTTCTCCAAATCCGGTTCATCAATCAACTTCATGAGCAGCAATAAATGATAATAGACGTCAATATGTGGTATTGGGCTACGCGGTATGGTACGCTTGAATTTGGTGGACACTTCAGGAACTGTGGTTGGTATAAGACCTAGTACTTCTTGTAATTCAGCATCCGGTGGATAAATTAAAGTAGCGATTTGACGCAAAATTGACAAGTTGAGCAAACGACGCGTGCGCGGTAATAAACGAATGACACGTACAACAAAGCGCGTCTCTTTTGTCTCAGCGCCCTTTTCAATCAACTGAACATGTTCTTTTAGTTCACGAATTACAGAATCAAAATCATTGTTGTCTACTTCCATCGGTTCACTTTCGTTTTCAATGGGTTTTATAGGTGTTTCCACTTGTGCTGGTTTGACGGTTTCCATTGTTTAGCTCTAGAATTGCAAAATACTCAAATGAAAATGTGATTTTCCAAATTTTTTTTTCATTTCAAACGAAAAATTGACATTAAATTCCATATATAAAAAATTTTCTACAACGTCCAAATTTTTTGGAACATTTGACGTTTTATGAGAATTTTTCGTGCTATACGGATGTAAGCAGTACGCTTAAAATTTGAAAGTTCTGTTTAATGTGGTCAAAATTTGAAACAACTTACCTGAGAATTAGATTATGGTGGATTACTCTAGAAGCGTCTACACAATACTGAGGTTGTGAAAATTTCCAAGCAACAGAAGCTTGTTAAGTTAGTTGGGTTAATAGGCTAAACGTCATGGGTGACTTTAAAAAGTTTCAGCAAAGTATGCCTGGATGAGTGGATTTTTCACAAGTAATGAAAGGGTTTCTGAATTAAAAAATAAAGTCACGAGTAATATAAATATAAGTACATATATAATTTTTTTAGACTAAGATTGTAACACCTATTAATTATAATCTCAATAATGTATTACATCAATAATATATGTAATACATATTATTTTTCTCAGTTTGTATACTTTTTTTATCAACACATTTTTTATATGAGGTTCGTGGAAATTGTATATGGACATCCTATAGTTTTTGCATGAACAGAAAAGAGACTACCTACCTTCTATAAGAGATTAATATGGAGAAAGTCTTTGAAGACAACAATTTAGTTTTTAAAAAAATGATTTCATACAACTATTTTAGATACTGCATCAGTGGTCTTTGAAGAAAACTATCGCCTTAATAGCCCATATACGTTAGGAATAGAACTTAGTCACTTACACCGTGCAGCCGCCTTCCTACACACAGTTTAATATATAACTTTTATATTAATATTATATTATATTTATATTATTTATTATGTTGAGGCTAGTTAAGTCAGTGCACTTTTACTTTCTATTAATAGCGAAGTTTCTTCATAACCCCTCTCTACGCCTTGACTGGGTTATTGTTTATCACTTCATTAGACTAAACAATAATTGAACTCAGATCTGCATACCTACCCGAGGAGCTTCTAACCATTCTGAGATGTGATAACGCGGTATTGGCAAGTCTGTAAGTTTTCGTAAATAATTTCAGGGCTCTATCCTTTATGTATGTTTTGAACGGATCCATCTTTTGGTATATTTATATTTTATTAATATTAATATCAATGTTTGATTAATTAGTATACATTTTTAACTTTAATTTAAACTTAAAACAAACTTAACTTTTATTATAAGCCAAAGTAATCAATCTTAAACAAAATAAAAATCAGAATTTTTGAACCGTATTGATATATGTGTTGCCCTCTAAACTAAAAGTTATATACCAGCATTTAACAGTTGCGACTTGCAAAAATGTGGGTTAATGAACTGGGTCATTTTATTAACAATATTTAGAATGGAATTTAAATACATATGTCTACATATTATGTATGTAGATATGTAGATGTACATATACGATACATCTGCATTTAAGTTATTCGAAAATAAAGTAGTAAATAACATAAAACTTAAAAATTTTAGTCCAAAAAATTGAATCATTTCCTTCAAGATTCAATCCAACTGTAACCTTAATGGTAATCGTCCAAAAAAAAAAACCAACGAATAAAAATGTACAAAAAGATTTTTTGAATGATTTGTTGTGACCTTTATGACTTCTGAAGAATTAATAAAATATTCTTTTACTTCTCTGTGCTTGAACCAAAGCTGTCCGAAAAATGTAAGAACTTTTAAAATCGTACAAAAGAGTTTTTGTAGAATCGCAGCTTCCAATTCTAATTATCGTAGCTTCTTAAAAAAAATAAAAAAACTTGATTTCGGATGAATTCATTTTTATGACTGTCAAATTTTTGATTCAATGATAAATTAGCATCTCCTGCTGAGCGTGAACAAAATATTAAAGAAGCAAAACGTTTTGGAGAATTTTTTATTTTTTAATTTAATTCAAACGCAATCATTTTTGATTTAACCTGGGTCAGCACGCTTCAGATACATTTTTCTTATATTTTTACTACAAGTACCTGAGTTTTGTGTGAGTGAAGGGACACATGTATGTATATAAATTTAAATATTAAATAATATTTGTTAATATAATGTATATAAATATTTTTAAATGAATGCATGCAAATATTAAAGAATTATATGAATATTTAAAGAACTTGGCACTATTCCGATTTTCCAGGCACACCCATTTGACGACAGATTTGAGTTGAAATTTTAAGCTATATGTAACTTATATAATGAAAATAAGACTATATAACCTAATTTCCATTCCATTAAATAGTTTTATTTTAAAGGTAACGTACTTTAAAGTTGATAATTATAACAAGGCAACCACAAAGAACAAAAAGATGCAAAATACTAGTCGGCGTTAGATGGCGTATGCAGTTTTCGTTATTGCTTTTAGTATAAAAAGTTTAAAACTTTGAAACTCGATATCTCAAGAAGTAAGTATTAGCATATAGCGCTGATACTTATAAGAGAAATAATTCAAAATATTGATTCTTCTACATACTGCTGGGTGTTTCCGAAAAATCAGAATCGGGCTAGGTATTTATATAAGTATGAACTATATATTAAAATATACAGTACAATTTTAGTTTTTTAATTATAATACATTTTAATATAATATGTAAGATCTTGAAAGTATTAATATCATAATTCGTAGAAGATCCCTTCACTATGTGGAAGACACTCCGGTCTTCTTGTCAATTCACTTATTATCTATATGGCTTGAAAGTTTATCATTTCATCTCCTCCCATTCTGTTTTTGTAGACTAAAATAAATAAAATACTATTACTAAAATAATAAAATACTATTAGATAACCCTGTAAAAGTTCCTGAGATCCTGCCTGAGCTCATTATCCTTGTAAAACTAACACCTCTCTCCCGATAAACGTTGAGAATACCAGTAATTTTATCAAGAACTTTCTCTTTTAAAGTTCATAAACCATGTGATGCAGAGATACCTTCTTATCATGTGATCTCTTGAATTTTATCATAAAAATGTTCATATAAAGTAATTTATATGAAATATATATACAAGAATAGAACTGCAAAATATATTTCAATTCTATCCAGTTTTTTCCTTACACTCATGACTTCAACAATATTAAGCAACAATAAAATAATATTAAGCAAAATATCCTTGGCGGTGGATGAGTACTGGTGTACTGATAGAAACTTACATTTGTCGAATAGCCAGCTAGTTACTATCGATAATATTTTTGAAACTTTAAATGACGCTATCTCTCCGTCATATAATATAAAAACAATGTAAACCGGGATATCAGAAGTGTTGTTGCAAAAATATGCTACTACGGAGTTAATAAGCAATTGGGATATGAATCTTTTTCTCTATCTCTCCCTCTCTTTCTCTATCGGAATTGTCATTGCTAATAGACGCTACTGCGGAGGTAAAGGCAATTGGTATAAAAATCTTTCACTCTCTCTCTCGCTCACTCATATTATTCTACCGTGTGGTGAAGAAATATGTAAACATTACATCAGTACTACAATTGCTCCAGAGAAAAGTTTTTCGTCAAACTCTGATTCTCTGTAAGCATACGAGAAATAACGTTTTGGAAAGAACTGTATAATCCCTAACACGATATTAACATAATTTTTAAATTAACAACTACTTTATTTATATCTAGGCTTTGCTGACTTATTTATGTCTTGCGAAACGGGTTGGGGTTAGAACCTGTGGATGAAGACTGAGTCATCGGTAGAAAGATCATGCTGAGGCCACACTAATCACACTTGATGTGCGGTACTGAAGTAAAGGCGCACGCTGCACAGACGCCTGAAGAGATTTGTTATGTTAGGTGAAGCTAAAATCTAGAGTATTTTAGAAATGACTAATAGATTTGCTCGTAGTAGATTGCATGGAACAAAAGACAGTAATTAAGTTTTGTTAGATCGAAAATTGTTAATACATTTCAAATTCTACTTAAATTAGAAAATAAGATGTGGGGTATATAATGGAATATATTGTTTTGATCTGATTTCAAATGAAATGTTAGTATGTCACACAAACTATTATATTGTACGTATGCTCTATATTGAAAGCTATTTGAGATGACCTTACTTCTGGAATAATTTTGAAATAGCATATCGATATATCTGGCATAAATGAATGAAAAGGAAAATGATAGTTGTTATAGACAATATTTTAAATATGTAGTTGCGTGTTAAGAACGTATTACGTCAAATTAGCTATACAATATGTAAAAGCAAACCCGAAATGAAATAACTCAATTTGTTGTGGACTTCAAAATATTGTAATAACAAAACAAAACTTCAAGCCACACAATCAAAATCACTTAAGTTTAGATTGTAGACCAACACGTGATTTAGATAAAAATCTAGTGTTAATGATCAATTTAATGATGATAGCGTTACGAATTTCGCCAGCTTCAAACATATTCTACAACCTCAACTTCAACCACAAAAATAAGATACGAAATGATCTAATCACGCGTCAAAATGTTGGATGAAATGATTAAAGAAGTTATAAAATAATAAACGAGAACTATTCTCATTGTTATTGTAATTCATTTTTTTTGTTCCTGGTAGGCTCAACAATGGAAAATCATTAATTAAATTTGAAAATTTTGGCAGGCGCTTTACGACCAGTTGGGGTCAAAAGCAGGAAAAGGGCATGAACAACAGATTTTTATTCGAAATTTTTATTCCGATTATTTTGCTTACAACGTAAACTTACAAACATTTTTAAAGACGCTTAAAGATTAAAATTTGTATAGTAAAGTAAAAGTAGAGATCAGATAGCAATTAATTAGTTTGCAGTTTAATTTATAAAATGTTGAAAGCATTCTGACTACAAGAAGCACCGAAAGAAGGGGCAAATACCATATATTGGAAATATATTAAAACGCTGCATGTGGCAAATGCGTTCTACGCTCTACTACTATGACGAGTTGACCCAGCCCAATGTTTGAGCCAGTGAATGAGGTGTCAAACTGTTAAACAGTGGTCAGAGCAATTTTTCAAAGTATTCTTAGTCAATACTGGATGGTATAGTATAGCGGCAAATAACAATACATCAGCATTTTCTATGTGAAATGAATGCAGGTGAATGCTGTGGGAACAAAAGAATCGTTTCATCAAAATAGATTAGCTCTCAACGGATTTGCTTTTCGGAGGTATTTTAGGTACGCAAATAATGTCTACACATTATTAATTTAAATGTGTTGCTTTTGTAATGAAAATATAATAAAAATTTAGACAGAGTTATAATATAATAAATACTTAAGAGATGTACCGCAATGAAGGAATGATGGAATTTTCAATAC